ATCATGAGTTTAAGAATAAACATAGTTATGGTTATATGATATAAATGTTAAACTTTTTCAATACTAAACAATGATTCTACACAATAGAAATTGTATAATTTGAACTGGTACAACTTGTTCTACATGTAAGTAAGGAAACAGCACACCAAAGTTTCTTTTCCAATAACTTGATCAAAATAAGATTAAACTGAGTTAATAAATGAGCATTTCCACCTTTTCTTTCCTATTTACACTCATGTCAGTATTTCTTGCCCATGTTTTAGAATTTTGATTCTCCTGGAAGCCATCTAAACAGAGTTTGACATCTCCTCTAATAGAGCACTTGCTGAAGAGACAAACTACGCATAAGAACACATGTTTTGCAGAGCCAGCAGTACTGTTTTATCTCTTTAGAATGTATTTTTAAGTAATAAAACTAATAATCATCATTGTAAAAATTGCTCACACCATAGAAGAGCAAATGAAGTCAATTGGAAGTCTTTCTGTCCTCCTCTCACCATTTCCCACTTTTTGGCAGGCAATCTTCTAGGCCCTCCTTGATACATATATACACAAATAATATGATATTGAACCATATAGGTATTATATTATCGACATTACTCCAAACTTTTCTTTTAAACTTCACAAACATTGTAGACATGTGAACATACCTGCAAATCGAACCTTGCTCATTAATCACTCATTTAGAATATTTAGAATAACACAGAGTGTAGATTGTTTCAGGGTGAGGTTAAAGTTTCTTTGGTTTGATAATATTTTAGGCAGTTGTTGATTTTAATTATTCAAATGACTTCCTGGAATCATAACCACTTAAATATACTCTCATAATAAGTTCATCTTAGGAAAATTACACTGCCTTTAAAAAAAATAAGAACGAACAATGTGTATATATATTACACTACTAAAAACATGAGAAGGCAAATGACCTTGGTGACAAATTATAAACTAATTTCCCCCTAAGTTTTGAATATTTGCTGAGCTACCTATATCACTTCTATTCCTCATACCTTTTTATTTATCCTGGACTTATTTAGAGGTGGACTGGAGGTGGGAAGGGGAAATGCTCCTGCATGCTACTTACTAAATAACATGTGCTTTATTCTCTAGAAGATTACTCCACACTCCTCCCCTAATTTTCACCCCATCTTTGCAATCCAATATTTTCTCTCTCTCATTTCTGACTGGCTTAGTCTCCATTCCAGAGAATTCGGTTCAGCCTAATATACCTCCAGCTAGGCACCAGTCCTATCCCTCCTCAGCTGAAGAAATAGAAGGAAAGATGTACCACAGAACATAGTAAATATTTGATAGACTCTTAAATAACGAGGTTAAACTAGATGATGGTGAGAGTTCCTTTCAGTCTGAAATGGTCTTATTTCTATATTAGGTGATCCTCTTTCCATTAGCCCTTTCTGTACATTTATTACAGTTACTCTGCTTTCTACAGAGAACCTCTATATCTTCTTGCCTTGATACAAAAAGTATTCAGTTAGGTTTGCATAATAATAAAAGTTAACGATCTGGTGCGCATTACTATGTTCCAGACATTGCATTAAGCATCAAGTCCTTTTATCTTTGTTACAACTCTATGAGGTAGGATATGCTTCTCCTTACATTACAGATTAAGACGCTAAGATTTATAAAGAAAGGGACTCAGAGCTGGAAGCTGTTAAAATCAGGTCTGAAACCCAAGTCTGTTTAATTCTAGAGTCTATGCTTTTAGTCAGTACTCTTGACTCTATCAAGATGAGCGGTGAGGGTGACCTTCCCCTAGTATATCACCTGCAATCCGCCAGAAACAACACTCGCCTGGAAGTCAGATCACTTGAGCTGGGGTCTCAGCTCTGATGCTAATCAGTTGTGTGACTTTGGGCAGGTCTTTTAAATAATCGGCCTCTTAGCTCTATCATTTCCTCTTTCGTAAAGCTAATAGATTGATTGGTCTTTCTTTCTGATTTAGTCACTTAGTTATTATACATTCCTATAAATTGTCACCAAACTTTTATGGACCAAGCAGATCACATATAAAAATAAATGTACATCCATATATTACATGGTGCTTCTTAATTCTGAAATTCACGACTGTGTGTGAGACTTTGGAGAAAATGCCAGAAGCACACTTACTTCAAAGAATTGACTGGGTCCTTCATATAAAACATTGAGCACTGGCTTTATGTTTAACATATCAACATAGGTTTATTAATGAATAGCACTACAATGGTTGTTAGAAGGGTTACATCACAAAACTCCCTTCTCCACGAACATTTGCTTATAAACTCACACACAAAACAGAAACCAGACAGGAAGAACATATATATAATGAGGACAAATTCAAATTAAGGGGTACCAATGTACCTACATGGAAGGCCAGACTCTAAGCTTCATGAAGTCAAGGTTCAAATCAAATTTGTTTTTATTTCTAGCATCTCACACAGGACGCGCTATAGAACACAGAAATCAATCAAGCTGTGGGAAGGAGCAGGGGCAATAGCGGTGAATCTCATGAACGATCTAGGTAATCGGTACAGCAATGATCCTGTGGTACAGGTGATGAGATGATGGTAGAGGAAAAGTAAGGAGAATGAAAGTATAAGGGAGTGAAACATTGTGATTAATTATTCATCTGTGTTTGGCTTTGGAATCACTCTTCTTTTTGAGCTGCGTTTTGAATTTTCTGTTTAACATAGCACCGTACCACTGACTATAGAACTAAAGAAATGTTATTATTTTTTTCTTTCTGGATAATGCTTGCTTCAAGAAATAACCTAAGTCAGACCAATCCTGGCGAGAATGTCTTCTGGATTCCTTTGATTAATGGGTACATGGGTCTAGGCCAATTTTTTTTTTGCGGTACGCGGGCCTCTCACTGTTGTGGCCTCTCCCGTCGCGGAGCACAGGCTCCGGGTGCGCAGGCCCAGCGGCCATGGCTCACGGGCCCAGCCGCTCCACGGCATGCGGGATCTTCCCGGACCGGGGCACGAACCCGTGTCCCCTGCTTTGGCAGGCGGACTCTCAACCACTGCGCCACCAGGGAAGCCCCTCTAGGCCAATTTTTGAGATTTTTGCACTGATGTTTCTCCTTCTTTGAAAATGTGTGTTTGTGTGTGTGCGCGTGTGTGTGTGTGTGTAATGATGATGATGTAATAATACCACACTCTTCTTGCAGTAATTGAGGTAACACCTAGCACAGTGGTCTAGTTCCCACCCTCCACTTCAAATACTGGCCTCCTTGCCTATAATCCTTAACAGCTTCATGTCTACATTTCAAGAAGCCATTGTCAAAGTGCACTTAAGGGCTTCCCTGGTGGCGCAGTGGTTGAGAGTCCACCTGCCGATGCACGGGACACGGGTTCGCGCCCCGATCCAAAGGAAAGTCCCACATGCCGCAGAGCTGCTGGGCTCGTGAGCCATGGCCCCTGAGCCTGCGCGTCCGGAGCTCTGCGACGGTAGAGGCCACAACAGCGAGAGACCCACGTGCCGCGAAAAAAAAAAAAATGTACTTAGACTAGCTTTTTCTGGTTCATTTATAATTTACGATATCCATTTATACTTTTAGCCTTTGGCTTCTATGTTAACATACGTAACTTACACATTAGGTGGGACAAGAAAAACCACACCTGAGAGCAGTCAAGTTCTAGGTCATGTCCTGCAGGCAGGACACATTTTCTATTAATGCAGAGTCAGCCATGCTGCATACCCTCAGGGAAGGAAGCTAATGAGCTTCTCAGTGAGCTGTGATTACTAGCTGAACTGTTTAGCATATTTACTCATTAATTCAAGCCCAGAGATAGCCTCATCTTCAAGTTGGGCTTATCTCAGCCCTCTAAGGCTTTCAAGAGCTCCAAAGGCCGTGATTCCTGAATTCATCTTATTAATTAAAATTTTTTCACGCTTTGAATTACGCTAAATGCCTAATTTTCATGGGATAAATGGAAACACTCTAAATAGCTTTCACACAGCAAACATATTTTTTGACTGCGTATTAGATTTCCAGTGTACTCCACACAAATTGAAAATTTAATTTTTTTCATTTAGGCAAGAAAATACTGTTTGTAAGACACCAAGAATCAGTACCTTTGATCTTATGAAAAAAATAAATCCGGGTTTTAGGAAAACAGGACTGGGCTCCAGGATTCCTGTGGGTATTTAGGGCATCTGAGAGCAAAGTCTGCTCTGGGGCCCAGGCTGGTGGTTTCATTCAGGACTGATGATTGGGCGTGGTGTTCATTCCATAGCCACGCCCAGAACTACTGATTCCCACGTGTTTCCACTTGCCCCCCCCCCCCCCCCCTTGTGCTCAGCTAACGCCTATTTACCCTTCAAAACTCTTCAGTTATGATTAGTGAGGGGGTAGTTTTTCACTTTATGTACTTTAAATTTTTGAATTACTTTTTCAGTGAGCATGCCTTATTTTACAGTTAAAATAACAAGAAACAATGGGAAAAAAATAAAACAAGCAAACAAAACCTCCCCCAAACCTTCTGCTTCGTTATCTCCTCCCCTGGGGGAAGTTCTGAGCAGTTTCCAAATCCTCTTGCCCCAATCCATATTTATTCATGCCCTTCTTTCTGTGAGCTCATATGGCCTCTCGATCATTTACTTTTAACCTAGGCGTTATTTTATACTCTGCAGTAATTATATGTTCACTTACCATTGTTCTCACTAGATTATAAACTCAGCCAAAGCAAGACGTGTAAGAATTGTCTAGATCCCCACCATCTATCCCAGTACCTGGCACATCGTAGATGTGCAGTATATTCTCTTGAACGAGGAATTAAGTAAAAGGAAGATGGTAGTTCTAAGCGGGAAAAGGAAGGCGACTGTGATTGAAGAGCCTCGTGCATTGATCACCTAGCTCCTCCCCCACTCTTGGTAACACTGCCAGGGACGCACCTGGGAGACCTCAGCACAGCTTCTTGCCATTGGCGGCCCCCTTGCATCCCCCGCGAGGCTGGGCTGCAGGAGGTGAGGGAGCCAGTCTGCCCTTCCAATCCCTTTACCTGAGTACAGTACTGCTTTTCTAGCCTCTGGCTCTCCTTTTGTTTCTGGCAGGTGAGTGACACCACAGACACGATGGTGCTGTTGCAGTTTTCTTGGGAAGACGTCCAGGACATCGAGGCAGTGGTTGAGCTTAGAACGTGGACACTCACATGCTGGGGCTTCTCAGTGAGTTCTTCGATCCACTCTCCTGAAGGACCTGGATATCAAATCAGACGCTGAGCTGGTTGAGGTACAAGATTCTAGTTTTAAAAATCGTGTTGTTTGCCTTTTGCCCTTACAGAGATACTCCAAGTAAGACTGGCAGCCAGGCTGGCAGGTCTTTACATTCTCTGCTTAGCTACAGTCTCCCCTGGGTGACCTCCCCATTGACCTAAGCAACATCCTGGCAGCAGCCACCAAACCAGTTCTACTGAGAGACAGAAGCTCCACTTCAGTTGTTAACGTGCCTCTGAGATTATTCCGGTAAATTCTTCACCAGAGAGAATTTACTTCTCTTTTAACAAACAGTATGTGTGGCAGTGTGGCATTTCATGAGTATTTATAATTCCTTTGCTGTTAGGATCTTCAGTCTCTAGAAATAATTATGTTGAGATTCAAATTAGTCTCTACTACAATCGTGTGAAAATTTTTAATTTGGTGACAGCAGGATCAAAGAGGCAGGGTGTGACTACCTTAGAGAAGAAACAGGCAACAGACGGGCTCAATTATAGAAGCTGGCGGAAACCTGGCTGATAATTTGAGGACGCGGTGGGCTCCTCATTATAAAATATCTCCCTGAAAGTGCCCGCCATTAGCTTTGTTCTCTTAAATTTCCAAAGTGGTTATTAGCACAGTGCCTGACACATCATGAGGACCCAAGAAATGTTAAGGTGATTATTATCTCCTGAAAGGCACTGTTAAAATGCAAATGTGCAACTTCTTTTATTTGCTTAGTATACATTTCTTAGTTCCCTCATAGGAAGCTGTATTCCTGAGCCCGGGAGAGGGGAAGGAGAAAGCAGCTCTGTTGGCGAGGGCAGTCCCAGGCTCATGGTTAATTGGGTAAGGGAAAAAACAACAATAAAAATGATAATAATAATGATGATGGCAAAGAGTGGTAGGACTCGCTGCGTGCCAGGCTCTGTTTTAAGTTTATATGTGTTTACATATTTTAATCCTTTAATTTTCTTAACTAACCTACGAGATAAGTACTAGGATTGATTTCACTTTCAGATGAGGAAATCGAGGCAGAGATAGCACAAGTAGAGCTGGGATTCATGCATAGGAAGTCTGGTTCCAAAATCCATGCTCTTAACCCCTGCATAAAACTTCCTGGATCACTATGAAAGAGTGAAAAGCATGGGTCTGGAGATAAGAAAGTTGGCCCCAAACTCAGTTTTGCTCATTATTAGCAATGCAAGCTTGGGCAGATGACTTAACTACTCTGAATCTCAGTCATTGCATCTGTCAAATGGACAAATCATAGAATGTTAGGATTGAAAAGGACTTTAGATTTTCAATGCTTTGTTTTACTGATGAGGAAACTGGAGCCCAGAGATGTGAATGAACTTCCCAATGTCACAGAGCTAGTAATGTTTGGGAACCAACCTAGAACTCCTGTCTCCTGGGTTGGGGCTTTGTGATAACTTATCATGATACTCTCTGATTAGTTACTTCACAGGACTGTCGATGGGATCAAATGAGATTATAATGTGTTAGAGAACTATCTAAATGTGAAGTGTTATTACTGTTATGATGATTACTGGGGTAGTGGGGGCATGGAGAGAGAAGGTGGGGGGAGGCAAAATGAATTCACTCACTTAATGTCTTTACATTAGGACTGACCCGATAATCAACCCAAGATAATAGGTCACTGCAGGCTCCATGGAAATGGACTTTGCTATTAAATATTTCTAGAATCTAATTCTTCTTCTGACACCAATTTGCTAAACTTTCTGTGACTCAGTATTTTTTTTCAAGTGACAAATGGGGATAAGAGAAATATTCCCTTCATGAGGCTATTGGGAGACTAATGTAAATTTCTACCTTAATTTTTATCTCTGAGTAAAACCTTCAAAACTACACAAATTCAGTATCCTTTTATTTATTTATTTATTTATTATTTGTTTATTTTTTTGCGGCACGCGGGCCTCTCCCCGCTGTGGCCTCTCCCGTTATGGAGCACAGGCTCCGGACGCGCAGGCTCAGTGGCCATGGCTCACGGGCCCAGCCGCTCCACGGCACGTGGTATCTTCCTGAACTGGGGCGTGAACCCGTGTCCCCTGCATCGGCAGGCGGACTCTCAACCACTGCGCCACCAGGGAAGCCCCCACTATCCTTTTAAAATCAAAGGCATATACAGAGTACACCTGAATAACTCATTACCGCAGAACATCATATCTGAAGCTCTAAAAAGATTTTTATTGGCAGAGAAATAGCAAAATTTCTAGTGCCCTATATTTTCCTAGATGAACATTAATATGCATCTTTTTGAAATAATCATATGTGTGAGCAATTCTGACACATTCTCAGCAGCTCTGGTCAACTGGATACTCTAGGAACAGGGCAGAGTGCTTGACACTGGAAAATGGTTCAATAAATATTTGTCGAATGTGCAACAGAATTAACAAATAAGCAAAGAGTTTAACCCCAGCCTAGGGTTTTGTAATTTGGTATGAGAAGCAGGATGTACACAAATAAAATACATCTAGAAAAATACCACACTCAGAGAAGCTCTGTATTTTGCCTTGTGCACTATGATACACAGTAGAAATTCAGAGAAGGGAAGAGCTAATGGCCAGAAGAGTTGTGGGAGTTTTCCTGTAACTTGCAGTGGATCTCTGCTGGCAGACAAGGAAATCTCTGGGTTAATGAAACATTTAGCCTCATGGGAAGAACTGGATACTAAACTTTGCTCTCATTCTCAAGTGATGTCACGTCAAAGATTGCCCATAACTGAAAGACATTTCACCAGTGGTGACATTTTTGGTTTCTTAAGTAAAATTGTTATATGGGATATTTTCAACATTTTTAAGCTGCTAAGTAAACTGATCTCGGGCTTCCCTGGTGGCGCAGTGGTTGAGAGTCTGCCTGCTAATGCAGGGAACGCGGGTTCGAGCCCTGGTCTGGGAGGATCCCACATGCCGCGGAGCAACTAGGCCCATGAGCCACAACTACTGAGCCTGCGCGTCTGGAGCCTGTGCTCCACAACAAAAGAGGCCGCGATAGTGAGAAGCCCACGCACCGCGATGAGGAGTGGCCCCCACTTGCCGCAGCTAGAGAAAGCCCTCGCACAGAAACAAAGACCCAACACAGCCATAAATAAATTAAAAAAAAAAAAAGGCAAAATTCCTTAAAAAGCAAACAAACAAAAATACTGATCTCTTCTCTCTGCCCCCCTCCTCCTTCCCCTGTCCATCTTTTTGAGGATCATCTGATGAAAGGTGGTAATTTGCTTTTGAAGGAGGAGATAGAGTATGGTGACCCTCCTTCTCGGAACTCAGTTTTTATCCATTCCCTTCTGGTTCTTCTTTCTGCTGGTCAGAGGCACATTTAACTCCTGATAAGCTAGGAAACTGGTTTTTGGCCTCTAAACTTCTGGTAAGCATAGTCAGATTAGCAAAAAACATTACAGACATACACTATTTGTGTAGCTTTTAGAGGCTAGTTATTGCTCTGCTATTATCCCTGATGGAATTGGTAGAAGATGCCCTAAGACTTGTTATTGGAGTATTCATGATGCTCTAGCTTAGTCTTCTGCTAACTTTTGGAGACCACCTAGGTCTCACTACACCTCAATCTCTCTTTCTTTCAAGCACCATAAGCTCAATACTCTAATGAGACTTTTCACACAGAAAAACAATATCAATTTTCATTATGGCCTCGAACAAAAGTCCTCTTTCCCAAACTATGTGTCCACGTCCTTGGAGACTTTGTTATCACTAGTGTGGAAGGTCAGTTTAATAAATGTTCAATTATCACAATAATTTTAAAATATCCTCAAGTTAAATCCCTGGATAGGTTTGCTACTATGAAACATACATATATTTTCCTGCTGTCAAAATCTCATGGATCCGGGCCTCTCATGATCTTGAAGAATTCTCAGGGTCTCTAAGATTTGATGCATAATTGATGCCTGAGCATCATTAATCTCACCAGTTCCATTTTTCTAGCTCCTCTGTAAGTGCAAAATAATCTTTTTGGTACTTACTGATATAAAAACTGAGTGATTTTGCTGACTCGCTGTTTCGAATTTCACAAGATCCTGAGGAACTGAAGGTTGTAACAGATAACTTATATTTCCCAGGCTCCTTCAGTTCTGCAACAAATTCGTGTGCCTCTTCATCCACTGTCAAATATTCAGTAAAGTTTTCTAAATCATGGATAAAAAAGAGAATAGATATGAACTGATATCTGGAGTAGCCTTGGCTATAGAAGTCAATTAATTAAAAAAAAGTATTTTTAAAAATTTTTCCTCCTTCCTTTTGTCAAGTTGAATTATACCTCTAAAATTACTATATAAAAAGGTGACTAGAGCTTCCCCGGTGGCTCAGTGGTTGAGAGTCCGCCTGCCGACGCAGGGGACACGGGTTCGTGCCCAGGTCCGGGGAGATCCCGTGAGCCATGACTGCTGAGCCTGCGTGTCCGGAGCCTGTGCTCCGCAACGGGAGAGGCCACAACGAGAGGCCCGCGTACCATCCCCCCCCCAAAAAAGGTGACTAAGAGTTCAAGTTATTTTTTGCAATAGTTTTAAATGACCAAATTAAAATATGGTGCACTAATCAATAAAACTAGGGGTGGATATATACTGCATTCTTACATACTGTCAACCAATGAAGTTATATACACAAAATAGAAGTATAATGTTAGGAAAAAATAGCAATAATCAACGTTCTCATTTGGATATAAAGGGTTAAAAAACAGTACCAAATGTTGTATAAGTTCTTTGTGGTAGCATTAAATATCCATAAGTGTCTTAAAATATATTGAATTATCTCTATTTAGAAATAATCCTCTGGATACATTTTTCTGACACTTGTAATATTTTTGCTTCATTGGTTTGCTTTCAGAAATTTTAAAAGTAAAAATGATTTTTGCATTGCTTCAAAGTCCACCTCCTGCTGCTTATTCATTTGAAGTTGTTATCATTTGGTGACTATAGTACAACACACCACAGTCAGATAAAAGCATGATTGAACCTTCATGGAAATAGGCATTACAAAAAATTATGAATTATAAGACCCCATTTTCCATAGAATATATTGAGGAATAGAAAAATAAAAGATAGATTAAGGGAACTTTTTTAAATACAGGTAATTTCAGGCAAATGTTAAGAATTTTGACTCAAATAATTGGAAATGATGAAGGATTTCAATGTTATATAGTATTTGGGTATGGTTGATTGCTCTCTACTCTAGTAGAGAGGAATTCACAGGTCTTGTATTTCATTCTATTGAATAAAATGGGGGCAAACAATACGTCATATATAAGACTACATGATTTGAATACCTTATCCTATAAATAAGGCTGTCAATTTAACCTCACATTTTGGCAACTTGACAACTTTTGCTACCCAGACTACTAGACTGGAAAGCATAAAACAAAGCAAACAACAAATAACTATGAAAACCTACCAAACAACAATTCACATATGATTCATGATCCAAATTTACTGAATGCTGTGGCCCTGCTTTTCATAAATTAGTGGGTTAAATATAAAGAATAACTCTCAGTTGCTAAGTGAATACAATATATAATATAGTAGCTAGAGTGGAAATACCAGTTGCTATGTATTTTCTATTCTACTACCAGCTTCTCTTTGGGAAAATGTGAGTGGTGCTGGTTTCAGCGGGCACCCGCTAAGGGGAATAAGAGTAGCTTGATAAGCAGGACACAGGTCTGATACTCTTGGGAAAGTAGCCAGGTTGTCAGCAAGATTGTTTTGCTGCATGCTTCACAAATTTGGGTACTGGAAAACAGAATATTTCTCCAGGATATTTTGTAATTTGTTATGGTTAGAACCTTAATTCAAAATCTTTCCAAATATAAAGTTTCCTCAGTTGCCTGGGGTAGGTGAAATGTCAGGTAATGAAATGTATACAGTTGCCTGTACTTGCAATGTATGAGCTGCCCAAACCAGATTCTGACCCAATCTGTTCATTTTTGTTTTCTGGTTTCCGTCTGCATTGGATACTCAATTAAATTCTTCCTTTTCTTTACCATCTTTCTTTAGATATTAACTGTCTACCATCAGTCTTTCTTTCTAAATGTAATCTTTAAATGCTTCAATTTCCTTTCCTTTGCACCATTACTTATTTCCTCTGATTTCCTATTATTTTACCTTCTCTTTCCATGTGGATATGGAACCCATCAAATGCAGTGGGTGGTTTTGGTGGTAACCAACTCAGTATCATTTGGACAGGGAAAAAAGAGAAAGAGCTGGTCGTCGATTTCTCAGTCTCACTGAGTGTTTTGTTATTTTCGTATTCCATGGGAAGAACACTGACAAATTCATCTTCACTTTCAGGAGTCGCAGATGCACTGTCCCACCAATATGGTTGGGATGTGGTTTCATAGTCACTGATGTTAAAATCAGGCCAACCAGAAGAAATGTTGCCAGAGGGAATTTCAGGAGTGTCATCAGTAAAATGGAAGAGTTTGTCTTTTCCCATTGTATCTTGTGATCTCATGAACGATTCCTCTGGGAAACTGCCACTCTGTTCTTCCCAGTTGTTTTTGTTCAAGTTTACTATACGAACTGAGATATTTTGAGGAGGATAGGGGACTGTAAGAGAGAGAATTATCATTTTCAAGTATTTTTAACTATTATAATGAATACTTAATCTATTAATGAGTCAAACATACAAGCAGATTTAGAAGGTAGAGTTTAGTTTTACTTTTACTGTATAGATAATTTACATCAAGAACACGTGTGGTTTCAAGTACACATACATCTAAGATTTTGTACACAGTGTGCACACATTAGCTTATCACCAGTCACACTTCAAATATTGATACATTAATTCGTGATACTATGCTTGTCCAAGTGGTGATTTAACCACTTCCAAAGTAGAGTTACATACATATTTTTCAGCTTATCACAATCTCCTTTTTTAAAAACTGAGTCTCTGTCACTAGATCTTTCTTACAAAAAAAGCAACTATAGTGTTTTTATAGCTATCAAGATAAAAATACTCCCTATGACATAGTTGCACTTAGGAGAGTTAAATGTCTGAATTGCCTTCAGAAACAATAACATGCATGTTGGAAATATGGCTTCGTTCCTCATCTCTCTAAAATAAAAACTGTGCACACAAAATGAGTTTATGAACTATGGAATCATACTTTTGTAGTGGTAGAAAATTATGAAGGCACACTGCATGGTCTCTACCTGCAAAAGATTGTATGCATCCTGCAGATAGCAGCTCGACTCTCACCTCTTCTATGAACTTCTAATAAAAATTAATCTCTCCCTCCTTTGTGCTGTTACATAAATTTGTACCTCTTTAATAATATTTATTATTGCATTCTGCCTTGTATGAGTGCCAGTAGTACCTCTACCATTTTTGAGAACAGGGAACCATCTCACCAGACTTTGTCTTCATCTCTCCCAGTACTTTAAACAACTCCCAGGTGAAAGATGCTCAATTAGTTTCTTTTCTTGAATAATGAAAACTACAAGTAGAATCTTAGATGTTGATGTGAGGTGAATAAAATTTAGCTGAAATATTTTCTTTGCTTTGGCCTGATTAATGAGAATTCAGATTTTTCAACACATCTTAGAATTTCAGAATGGCAGGGTCTCAGAGGTGATCTATTATAACACATTCCCAGTGTTTGTATGAATTGTGTCTCCTGCATTCCTACTGAATACTTAAGGACATTAGGCATGAAAAAATATCAGTCATATTGGTATTGGCAATGGGTATTTAGTATGTGTATATTTATATTACCCATCCATTCTTCCATCTACTTACCATCTATCCATCCATCCATCCATCCGTCCTATGATTGTGCTTCATATTAGTCATGCTACTAAAATTAATAATCTGATAATCTGTAGTAGAACCTCCCACATCTGTTCTTCTGTCATATGAGTATTTTGTCAGGTTATAGAATAAATGATGTGCACTTGATCCAGTTAAATTACTTAATTATAACTTTTGGTAGTATCACACAATTTTTTTAATTCAAAGATTATAAATCTATGATTTCATTGACATATTTAAAATTTTTAGAATTGAATATTTTGTTCAATTCCTTTTACATTGATAGAAAATTTGTTTTAGGTTACTAAAATACGTATTTATTTTCTTTCTCAGCTCTGGAACAGAATTTTCCTTAGAATGATAGAAAGTATATATATAACAACATATCATTTAATTATTTTTTCACTAAATTTGATTCTTTGGAAGACTTACCAGTTCTGTGCTGTTTGGGTTCATGACTGACACCGCTGTACTCCACAAGAGTGCTTTTATTAAAAGTTGCCTCAGATACCAGCTGAAAGGTGATATTACTGTAACATATTCCTGGCAGCCAGTGATTAAATACTGTTTTTCCCTTAAAGAAATCTGAGAAGAAAAAAACAATTATATTAAAACTTCAGTTTCCTAAATGCCACACACTTCTAGAAAGTTCTGAACAATTATGACTAACTATCCATAAAATAATATTTCCTGCAACTTCTGGCATGGTCAGTAATAAAAAATTGATATAAGGCTAGAGGTGAAAATTTGGATTGTTTTGGACACAAACTGAAAGGCTTTTTTCTGCAAGAATTGGATACAGTTGGAATTAAAATTTTATTATAAGAACATTTGGTGTATTAAGTGGAGAAGATAACATATAGAAATTGTAGAGATTAAGTTTCTGCTAGCCATTTACTTTAAGATAAAAACCCAAGGTATTTTGCCAATTTACGACTCAGGAAAAAATAATTTTACAAGAAATGTTTTCACTAGTCTCACTTGTAGAATATAGCCTATTTAAAAAATAAAACAGTTTGTCTGTCATTTGGCGGATAGGACCTGCTTAAATAAAGAATAAAATAAAAAATTTGAATTTTATTTGGAAAACATTTTTTTTGGAAAATAATAATAAATTAAAAAATCCAATCCAAGTTAGAAATGAGAGAAACAAAAAGTACCATTTATTGAATGAAAAACCAAAAATAATTTTAAATTAATTAAATTTAAAAAGAGAGCATATTAATTAACTTATTTTTAAACTCATGGCATTTAGCTCAATAAAAGTTTCAGTGACTGCTTTTCAATTATTTCTGAACTTATATTTGCATGTGATCAAAAAGCAAATAAGGTCTCAATTATTAATTTGCAGATAATCTGTTTTCATTGAAAATAAAGAATGCAGTAATTTATGGAGTCTATTTATGTTTATTTGATTTTTTTTTAAGTTTAAAACCCCTGTAAATTCACTGCATATATTTTAAACAATGTCTCATTAAAAAAAAAATCCATGGAAAATTCAGGAGTTTGTAAAAGCAGCACGTCAAAGTGAGATATTTCTGGATATCATGCCCTATGTGGTTGAGTACCTGTCCTCTACTTAGTTTCCAGTTACAACTAGTCAAATTTGAGACCATCATCTACACTCTGCAGATAAATATCATGGTGCTGGGTCCTGAGAATATTTATGTTTCTCCAGTTCAGTCCCCAAAGGCCCTCCCTCCTTCTCTCCCTATCCCTCTCCCTCTTGACCTGCCTCTGCCCCTGAAAAGTTGAGTTCTTTCGAAATTATTAATTCCCCTAGGCTCTCCTCTCTCTCAAGATCCCATCAAGCCAGTAAAAATAGTGAAACCAATTTTTGTATATTAATGCAATCACTTAGCTAGTCATACAGATAAATATATACAAAGGACCTAAAAAGCATTGTCTTTTGCATTTGAGAATAATCTTGGACCATCTCCAAGTGAAACTTTGTGAAAGGCACCTCTCTAGCTTCCCAGTTCTAGAAGTGCCCTAACACACTCAGAAAGAAATGGTTAAGTGAGGTGCTTCTAAATTTAAGTTTGAATTTGTTTCCTGCACCAGACATGCAGGAATAATATTTGGCAAGAATAACATGTGAGTCACAATAATTTGAGTTTTTCTTATGCTTACGCATGACACATGACTCTAAAGAACCAGACATTCTAAGACTCCTCATAACAATATTTTCATGCATCAGTAACTATTTTTATTGGTTCATTTATGACCAAATAATGAATTATAAGACCTCTTCAGAGCAAGAGCAAGAGCAAGACCATTTGGCAAAAGTCATGTAAAAGTAATAGTCATCATTTTTCATCTTCCTTTTGCCTCTTACCTTTATATAGCATTGTCCGGAAGTCTTTACCTTCCCAGTAGCTTATGTTTACTCTTGTGAAAACGTTATATTTTTCTGGATAATGAATTTCAAACAGGACTCCTGTTTCAGGAGAAGGTTTATAGTCATATATTGAAACACTGGTTACGGGAAGAGGTTCTGCAGAAGGAAAGTTAATGGAGAAAGGGGAATTAAGGAAAGAGCAAAAGGCCATTATCAATACTTGGAAGGGCCAGGGATTACACCTATTAGAATTTCACACATATTTTTATTATGTGTAAGACACTAAGCTCCTCAGTACTCCTGAGTTGAGTGCTCTCCTTAGCAGTAATTAATGATGCATATTTTAAATAGTGATTTCTGCCTTTCAAGGAACTCTCATATTCATTTTTCCATTTGCCTTTTGCAACAACCCTGAGATCTAGGAAGAGCAAATATTAATATCATCATTCAACATATAAAAATAATGATAACTCAGACTTTAAATTACTTGTCAAAGGTAATTTAACAAGGACATGGCAGAGTCTGTATCTCCAGATTCCTAGTTCATTTTTCTTTTCCCCAAGCCAAGAAAATTTGACATTAATAATAGACCAGTAGCAGAAAATACATTTTGGCTCTAACCAAAGATAAATGTCTCAATAATCAGTTATTTCTTTGTGTGAACTTAGCACTTTTTTTATGTCAAGCATAACATTGCCAACCATCCTATGTTGTGAGGATTATAGTTTATGATGTTTATCAAACTATTCTTTCTACAGAAATTTAAAAATGTTTATTTCTATTTTGCATGAGTTGTTAATTCATCACAAAACTTTGTAAATACTCATTTTTTTAATAACTGTGATTGACGTATGTCTGCATCTCCTCCACATCCCACCCTTCAGCCAAAGTCTTGCAAAGTGCCAGAGGCCCCTCACCCTTCAGTAGGAACTACTGGATAAGTTTTACTTGCATTCATTTCGTTCAAGAAAATAGTTTAAATAATTTGGCTTGGAGTCAACTCTTCTATTATAGAAAAATTGATTTTAATTCAAAATTTTAGAATTGAGAGGATTCTTGGACATCTATAGCCTAAATGAAATATCCTTAGTTTAAATTTTATACTTTGAAAATTTCAGTTCCAATAACATAAGAAACCAAAACTGACTTAGTTCATTCAACAAATAATTACCTACTTTGTCTCAGTCTGTAGCTAAATATCTTTCATTTTGTTCTTCAGTATCTCAACCTATTTTTGCTTTTGACTGATGAGATCCAGGGAAGACTGAAAATACATGTTAAAATTCTTAATGTTTTCCTGGAATTTTCTCATAAACCAAGCCTATCTATAAAATCAAAAACCAAGCCAACATCTATAAAAAAGTTGGAAGGCCTTCAGATTGCAACATATATTGGGATCATGTCCCTGTAGACTATGTGCAATGTTCTCTGGTTAGAATATTTCTATTTTATCTTTGTCTCATCCTTGGTTTTCCTACTTAAAGGGAGAACAGAGTGAACTCACTTAAGTGTCATGTAAAGAAACCAGCAAATCAAGCCCTGAAGACACTGAGTATTTCTCTTTGATTAATCCCAAAGAAGCCTTGAACCATTTGAAGATCTTTCTTCCAACTCAGTCTAATTACTAACCCAGGGAGTCTACACAATCCACTTATTGACTCTGGATATGAGAAACAAAATGAAAGCTAACAGCAAACAGCAGCCACAGAGCCATAACTCTTCCACTGCTGCAGCCCAGTTTCACATCCTCACCAGGGGTCTGTCTACTGGAAAGAGAAGTTAGAGGTCCACTCAATCTTTCATGCCCTGAGTTAGGAAGTCTGCATATCAAAGCCATAGTCAAACTTTGAAATTCAAGAGATACAGGAGGATTAGAGCATAGATATTTTATTTTATGATTTTTCTGTTAGCTGTGCCAACAACTTAAATTTTAAACTAAGAGAATTTTTAAAATGCCTACTTACATGTTTGCTTCCTGCATTTCCCTCAGCTTCAACATATATAACCCAGGTCAGCTGTAAATTCTAAAGTCCATATGCACAGGCATTTTTGAGGTATATTCAATACAAGAATTACTGTTTTCTAGAACTCAAATGCATTCTCTAGAAATATTTTACCATCTCTCCAGTTACTTCCCTCATTGTTTTTCTTTTTGAAAAATTAAGGGATGTGGCATAAACCAGAGCTGTAATTACTCATGTGTTTTTCAGTGATGACAAGGTAAAATCTTGATCTAATTCATTACTCCTTTCTCTGCCAACTATCCTGTTATACTTCCCTTTCTTGTTTTAGGAACCAGGTGAGACTGGACAGAGAAATGTAGTTGTTTAAAAATAGAAATCATTTATTATCTTCATTTATTACGTTTTTGTCTTTAGTTTTTCCTTTTTAATTAAAAAAATTAATCATTACAAAATATAGTTGAAACTCCCCCGTATAACTTACCCTGATCCCATTTGCCTCCCATAATTTGGCCAGAGGTAAATTATTACTCTGAATATGGTGTTTCTCTTTCCATGCATGTTTTTCACTTTTATATTTGTAAGTGTCCAATATTCATATGGACTATTACTTCACATACTTTAAAATGTTATGTTGATGGTATCATATTGTACGTATGATTCTGCAGCTTACTTTTTGTTACCTAACATCGTTTTTGAAATTTGTCCATCTTGCTGTATCTCTAGAAAATTTAGTATCCATTTTACAACTATACAAACAATATAATTTGTTTTTTTTGTTGTTGTTGTTATATAGGTTGTTTTCAATCACTCACTTTTGCAAATAATGCTGCAATAAATGTTTTGGGACATGTTTCCTTAGGTTGGAAATCCTGGATAGTAGAGTATGCACATCTTCAACTGTTTGTGATATTGTGAAAATGTTTTCTAACTTGATGTCAATTATCTATCAGTTGTGTGTGATAGTTCTTGTTTCTCCATATTCTTTTTCCAACACTTGCTTGTATCAGTCTTTTTATTTATTTTTAATTTATTTTATTTAATTTATGTTTTTGGCTGTGTTGGGTCTTCATTGCTGCACGTGGGCTTTCTCTAGGTGCGGTGAGTCGGGGCTACTCTTCACTGCGGTGCGTGCGCTTCTCATTGTGGTGACTTCTTTTGTTGCAGAGTGCAGGCTCTAGGCCTGTGGGCTTCAGTAGTTGTGGCACGTGGGCTCAGTAGTTGTGGCGCATGGGCTTAGTTGCTCTGCAGCATGTGGAATCTTCCCAGACCAAGGCTCGAACCTGTTTCCCCTGCATTGGCAGGTGGATTCTTAACCACTGTGCCACCAGGGAAGTCCAGTCTTTTTAATTTTTGTCACTCTGAAGCCTGTGAAATTTTGTCTCTTAATTTCCTGTTCAAGAAAAAGATTGAACATCTTTTCATATGTTTATCTGTCATTCAGCTTCCCCTTTCTTAAAATCATTTGTTTGATACCCTTGCCTGTTTCATGGATTCTTTTTCCATATTTTCCTGCTAATTTCTAATGCAACCTTTGTCATATATCACTTCCCCATTGTCATTTTTTATTGTGTCCTGTGCCTTTCATCCGGATACATTTTTCTTCTTGCTGAAACATATAATTTAATAGTTATTTAAGTTAGAGCATGGGTGTTAAATTCTCCTAGGCTCTGTATACAAAAAAATTTCTTTATTCTTGATGTAGTTTAGCTGGGTATAGAATTTTGGGTAGTCTGATTTCCCCTCAGCACTTTCAGGATATTGCTCCATTGTCTTCTTGTACCAATTATTGCAGAAGAGAAAGCTTCTGTCAGTCTAATAGTTATTCCTTTGTGGATACCATGCTTTTTGTCCATTAGTATCTTCTAAACTTCTAATTTATTTTTATTTATCCTTGATCATCTGCAGTTTCACCATCACATATCTAGGTATGGTCTTAGTTTTTTTGTTTTTTTTTTGCGTTACGCGGGCCTCTCACTCTTGTGGCCTTTCCCATTGCGGAGCACAGGCTCCGGAAGCGCAGGCTCCGCGGCCATGGCTCACGGGCCCAGCCGCTCCGCGGCATGTGGGATCTTCCCAGACCGGGACACGAACCCGTGCCCCCTGCATCGGCAGGCGGACTCTCAACCACTGCGCCACCAGGGAAGCCCTGGTCTTAGTTTTGAATTATCGTCTAGGTACTTGGAATGCTTTGTCAATCTGTGGATTCATGTCATTCTTCAAGTCTTGGAAATTCCCATAATGATTTCCTCAAATATAATGCCAATCATCCCCTCCGTATGTTTCTTAATCTCTTAATCTCATTAGTTACAATCTCTCCACCTCCATATCTGTGGTAGTATTGTCTCACTGTGCTAAATCATGGGACAATGACACAGTATCATCTTTCAATTTACTGACTTTATTTAATTTTTATTAGTACAGAATTTATCCCATCTATTGAAGTTTTTCAATTAATTAACATTAAATTTGATTAATTAAATTAATTTTACCTAGTTTAACCAATTAAATTAAATGTATTTTTTATTTTTAAAATTTATACTTATTCTATATGTTTCTGTTTTATTGCCAATTTTTGTTTCATTATTCCTTAATTCTTTTTTTTTTTAAATTTAATTAATTAATTAATTAACTTATGGCTGTGTTGGGTCTTCATTTCTGTGCCAGGGCTTTCTCTTGTTGTGGCTAGTGGGGGCCACTCCTCATTGCGGTGCGCATGCCTGTCACTATCGTGGCCTCTCTTGTTGCGGAGCACAGGCTCCAGACGCGCAGGCTCAGTAATTGTGGCTCACGGGGCTAGTTGCTCCGCGACATGTGGGATCTTCCCAGACCAGGGCTTGAACCCGTGCCCCCTGCATTGGCAGGTGGATTCTCAACCACTGCCCCACCAGGGAAGCCCAATTCTTTTTTAATATGTGTAATTCTTTCATTTATCACTTTGTATATCATAGCATACTGTAAATTTTTGTTACATTGCTACATAAAATATAATATAAAATATTATAATAATTTTGATGCCTATCTTTTTTAGCATAGATTTCTTTGTGTGTTCTAAAATATAAGCCCTAGGCCAAATTTTGTTTTCTCATTGCTCTATTTCTTGTTTTTTCCTCACTGCTTTGAGGCAGTTTAGCATCCTTTCAGCTCACCAGAATCTGCAGTCTAGAACCAGGGCATATAACATTATTTTGGGGT